TGGTGATTTTATTTATTTGTTTTAATGAAGTTATAATGACATGTAAAAAGTGATTTATGGTTGGTCCTCATATTTGTAACTAATCTTCATATTTACAACCACCACAGCATCCCCATGGTCATGTGATCAAAATATGGGCACTTGGCATGCATTTATGACTATCACAGCATCAGAGTCACCTTGAGATAACATAGGCGGCTAAACAAATAAACAAACAAATAAATAAAATCACCAGTTGCAATCTTCCTAAGGGGCTCACGGCATCAGTCACCTTGAGGTAAGATGGGCAGCCTATAAATGTTATGAATGAATGAATGAATGAATGAATGAATGAATAAAATCACCATTTGCAACCCAAGGGGCTCCCAACAAGCAAAGCCAATGGGGAAAGCTAGATTTACTTAACAATTGCATGATTCACTTCATAACCATGGGAATTTGCTTATCAACCACAGCAAGGCCATAAAATTTGGTGCAACCCACCAAATGCCTGCACTTCTTAGCGACAGAAATTCCGATCCCAATTATGGCCATAAGTCGACGACTTATTTGTGTGTGTCTTTTTCTTGCCTAATGGCATTTTTTTTGGCATGAAACTCACTGTAGTTCATGATTCCAATCATTGGTTTTTCTCTTTTAAAATCTATCCCAGGCCCAAAATTGAAGATGTGAATTTCCCAAGACACCAAACGATCTTACCTGTGTGGCTAAGTTTCCCCCAGGTCACGGTGCTCAGGTAACAGTTTAAAGCAGCACTGGGGTCCTGTTTGGTAATTGCATCAGAGACCAGGATGGTGTTGTTCAAATCGATGTGCAAAATCAGCTTTCGCTTCTTAGGGCTCAAGATTGGTCCAGGAAGAAGTCCAGAGGGAGTGGCCATGGCTCCCAAGAGCTCACAAGCTATTTCGTCTTTTTCTTGCATCCTTTTGGGAGGCCGATTGGGTGGCCCTTCTTCTGCACAGCTGACCATCTCAACTTGCTCCCCAGACCTTTGGAGGCTGTTCTCACAGGTATTCATGCCGGAAAGAGAATTTTTTCTCTTCCTTTTGCTGGTACAGTTGGAGATAGGTTTTGCGTCTGCCAGTCCAAACGTCACCTCATCACACAACGGCATCTGCTCAGGTTTTAAAGTGCCTCTGTTAGACAAATTATCTTTCTCCATCCAATGGTCAGAGGGATTTCTGTCCTTCAAATCCGGTGGGCCATGCTGGGCTGGGGTAAATTAGAAAAAAGATGAGATGCTGCTACCAGCTCAAATGTGGATGAGTATTATTATTAACATACAAATCACCGCATCTCTCGGGAATAGGGCGGCATACAAATTGAATAAACATACAAATTGAATAAACATNGGGGGAGAGGAGGAGGAGAGAGGAAGGGGAAGTAGAGTAGGGAAGGATGACAGAGGGAAGGAAGGAGGTAGGGAGGGGGAGGAGAGAGAGGGAGAAGAAAGTGATGGATAAGGACAAATATGGTGTATGGAGAGCAGAAGAGCCAACAATTGTGTTTCGGGGGTTGATGGTAAGATGAATTGATGTAGACATTTAGTCATACAAAACGATGCTGGCTATGTAATAGCATACATGTGATTTATATGTTATGAAAATGGGAAAAAAATTACTAAAAAAAAAATCCAGCTAGGGAAGGGGGGGTGGAGGGTGGAGCTCCAGGTGTTATTTTGGGAGGATGTCTTACCCACTTACCTTAGAATCTCTGCAACCATGACGCATCACACAGCTGTCCGACTTTTGCTCGTGGCCAGATGCCTCATGGCTCGTCATGCTGGTACTGTCACTCGCTCATGCAATGACACAACACGCCATGTCATGAGCGGTGGCACCGGCGTGACGACCCAGGCAGCAACTGGCTGTGAATAGCTGTGAATGGCTGCAGAAGTTGGGCAGAGGTGCGACAGATGCCAGGGCATGAGATGTGTGGTTGCAGTGGTTCTAAGGTAAGCGGGTAAGACATCCCCCCAAAATAAGACCTGGTGCTTATTTTGGGGCTGAAAATAAAATAAGACTGGTTCTTATATGTGAGGAAACACCGTAGTTTGGAAATGAAACATCTGCAAGGAAACCACCAAGCTCCAAGAGCAACAAGGACCCCGGACTGCTGTTTGTGAAGCATCATCTAGTTTTTTTTATACCACCTTATAAGCTTTTAAAATCTCTCATAAAAAGCAATGAAATTCTTCTTTCAAGAGAAAAGAAATGATTGCCGCTTTTGAAGCAGAACAAAATGCATTTGGCGTAAAACTACGAAACATTCTGAACTCAAAACGACTCAAGCTTGAAATAGGCGAAGTGGGTTATTCAGACTTCCCTGGAAATTTCTCAAGCTTTAAAATGGCTTTGTTTCAAACTCAGAATATTTTCAGGGAGGCCAATGTGCATTTATTAATTTTATACAGTATACAGTATACAGTATAGGGAAAAGGCTAATTGATGGGGTTATTAGAACCAGGGATTTTGGAGAAAGAATTTCAACTGGATGGTTTATAGTCCTCAAGATACCTGTGAGCAGAATCTGAAAAACCTGATATCGAGAAAACAGTGATGTAACTATTATTTAATACTATATGATATGGGCTATGTATAGTATACATGTGAGTGTGTGTTATGAAAATAAAATAAAAAATATTTCAAATGAGAAAACAGTGTGCAAGAAATTCTCACTGACAAGCAGTAATATTCCAGCATAATTCTGGAGAATATTTTTTTAAATGTCTTCTGTATTTCCCCGCAAACTATTTGACCCCATAATGGTTTGTGAAATCTCTCCATTTTCACCTACATCCCTAAAGCACCAGTTATTTTCTATTGTAAATGTTTTATTCATTTTCATTTTCAATTTTATACATTCACTTATATACTGGATATTGGCAATAATAATATT